GTTAGTGTATTTTTGCCAGCAGATTTAACTCTCATTTACCGCACTTTTCAAAGTGTTTTCATATGCTTTTATTTTTCATTTCTACAACACCTGATTTCATAATAAACAAGACTTTGCCCACCTTAGTAAAATTACTGTTAGTTAAATGAGATCTAGCTTATTTTCATCTGCTGCAAACAAGCATTTTGGGCGGTCTTGGTATATGTATATGGATTTGCATATTTCCCCAATAACAGTTCTTTTTCACTAGCACTCTTTTGTGATTTTTCCAATGATAAAATGTTTTTAATTTCCATACTCCACATCTAAAAACTGATGGAGCATAAACATCTGCTCAAAGATGACAAAAATAAAATAGAAATGTATGCCAAAAATTATGTTTTATTTTCTGTTTGCATGTTCTTCACAAAAATTGGGGGCAGTCACTCCTCTCAAATCTCAAGTAGCACAGCTGTTAACAGATCCTCTGATACTAATGCAAACCTAAAGACAGCAATTCTAGCACATGCAAATGTTCAAGTGTAAATTTTGCACAGTTTTGAAGACATCTCGGGATACAGACGTCTTGAGAAATTTGTTCAACAACTATTAAAGTATTGGATTCAATTTTGAAAACTTCTATACTGATCGATGCATAATGCTAATATATGTTAATGTATTTTGATGTGATCATCTCAAAACTGAATTTGAGTTTTACCTCTGTACAGCAAAAAATCTAGTGGGAGAACAAATGTAATGGAAGAATCACTCTTAAGTCATTTTAAGTTATAAGAAAGGAAACAATGGCCATTTCCTGAACTTCGTAGCCTACCACTACATGAACCAATTGCATCACTGACACTGATCATTCACCCAGTCAGTTCATATCAAAAACTTTAGGACAGAAGATCTCCCTGTATGGTTAAACATAATTTGATTCAACCAAGACTGCAACCTGGAAAATTGCAAAATCAGTATTTCTGTCAGTAGAGAGAACACAGATGATGATTCTGATCCCAATAGACACTATCTGAGCTACCAAGAGGCTTTTATAATAGGTGCTAAGGATCTGGCATTCAATTTATTGATTATCAGTTTATCTAATTTTAGACAAACTGCCCCGTGGAAGTGCCTCCCTATCTTCACTGAATGCCGGTGAACTTGCTTAGCTATTTTCAAGCTTAGTTATTTAAATATGCAGTAATTTGTAAGGTTTCCCATTGATTTTCTTATAGATTTAGAATTGGAAATAAAGGTGGGCAACCATCTAGGTATCATGATGCAAAAATGTAATTATCTATCTACTTTATGTGTCATTTTGGTTATTGATTTTCAATACAGTTTTACACACTCTAGCTTCACCTTACATTCCTATGGAGGAGCATCATTTTTTTAAATGCCTCTGTAAACTGTTTTCCATATAGCAATTCTATTTTAGCTGTTCCATACAGAATCAAAGCTAGTACAAAAGGCTATTACAATTAAAATCAGTGCACACATTTAGTGAATGCCAATATAAAGCAATTAACAATTGAGTAACAAACACATATTTTAAGAGACTAATTGTAAAATCGTTGGGTTTTTTCGGTAAGGCTGTTTAAGTTCAAAACTTTACTTGAATAATTCTATCTTTCTAGCTCCATTTACATAACTTTGGCACCAGATTTCTGACTGAGCAGTATGTAGATAAGCGAGCGGATGGAGAGTGGAGGGATTCCAGACCCTCCTGGCCTTATTAACCAAAGCTCTTCAACTAAGGACCTATGCAGTACTGCTCCCAAATTATATTGAAAGTGCTAAAGGGACGATGGGTGAAATTCTGCTTGTAACGAGACTTTTAATTGCAAAGGATAGGATTCTGATCTCAGTTATACAAGGGGTATTTTTTAATTATTTTTAACACTACATCTTTTTCTGCAGTATTTTTTATTTTAAGATATTTAAGGATTTCTGAAAGGTTTTCTAAGGTAATGAAAATTCCCGCTTTTCCATCTATTATAAAAATATAGTAAATTCACCTTTTTGTTTTTCCACCACTGTAATTATGAAAATAATTTGATACTCTGATATCAAAAAATGCTTTTGCTTTCTCATTTGTATTCACATTGTCTAGCTCTTCTTCTGTACTATAACCTCAACTTCAAAGACCTTCCACTTCTTTCTTCCATGGCAAGGACTGTAACAGTCTTACCTAGATAAGGCAAAAAAAACAAACACAGCTACATCTCATAGCTATTAAATGAGTAAATAAACCGCTGGAATTAATGTATTGCATACCCACAAGCTTACACAGACACACATACGAAATATCTGACTAATAACACTGTCCTAGATTGCTGACAAGTAGAGATAAGGTGACAAGGAATGAAGTAACAATGTTAACCACCATTAAGTTGGTAGTGGCCAACTCCTATTTGCAATGTTTATTCAAATACTGTAGGGTAGCATCGTCTGCAGTGGAAGCCGAAATATCTACCTCAACGGTGAACATCAAGGGCTTGATTCAGTTATCTGTAACATACGAATCTAGTGTCATTTGAGATTCTCTAAGGTAGCTACAGAAGACTGGCAGATATGGCAAAGGATTTAGCCATGCCCTTCTGGAGCATCAGGCAGGATATCATGAGGAACTTCACATGATAATATTCAAATGCCTTTATTTAGGCTACCAAAGCAAACTTGTAGGATGGGATTTAAGATACAGATGTTCTTTTAAGTTCTTTCATGGAAGTATCTACAGCTATAGCTAGGTGTGCATGCTCCCACCACAATCAGTGGAGATCTTGTCAATACAGTCAATGGAGCCTGTGTCAAGGCTCAACTGATCACACAAAGTTGTTACTTCTCGTCTGAGCCACCAAAACGTATCAGCTATATCCGTGCAGGGATGGCAGATATGGCAGAGGATACATAGGAGACCTGTGCCATTCTCTAGCAGCAGCTGGAGGTGTAAGAGCATGATCTAGGCATCTAGAAGCTAGTTCAAGCTACTGAATTAGGCTTCCTCTGTAATCAGTGGATAAAGTAATTCATCCCACCTACTTTAAACACTTTTATGATGGTAAGTGTTATCAGCATATTCATACTAGGTATCTAACTTACAGATTCATAACAATGAGTGCAAAAAGTCCAACTCTGAATGCTTTAACAACGGAACAGGAAATCTGTCAAAAACCGAGATCCGAGTCGCAAGCCTGAAAGCAACCCTTGAAAGATTTTACTTAGGAAGAGCCACTGCAGAACAGATGCAGCTGGGCCAATAACACTACTATATCAATATACTGTATATACAGTATATCAGTATCAATCATTTTTAGCCTGGACCTTATTTTCACATAAATAAACTTCCAGTTAACAATAATACACCTGACTGAATGTGGGAAATACTCTCTATTTCATAAGCAACCTTTTAAACTGATGCACAAGCATGAAAGCAAACAGCAGGAGATGGAAAGTAAATGCTGTGTTATGGACCACGAATACCAACAGAGGAAAGTTAGGTAAATTTACTGAAATCTTAATTTCAGCATAAAACACTGCCACAAAGTAGGGGAAAAGATATGTTCTCTTAGAATGACAGAATTACTGAGGTTGGAAAAGACCTCTCAAGGTCCCTAGTCCAATCGCCCTGGTCAGAGCAGGGCAACTGCAGCAGGTTGCTCAGGGTCTTCTCCATTCAGGTTTTGACCATCTCCAAGCATGGAGAATCCATAACCTCTCTTGGCAAGCTGTTCCAGTGTTTGACCACCCTCACAGTAAAAAAAGGCTTTTTTAAGATTCAATAGGCTAGGGGTCGAGATTTGCAGGGGTATGGTTGTCATCCCTCCTTAAAAATGAGCAGAAAAGCAACCTTCTGTATTTTAAACCTTGGAAAAGTTTGTACTTTGACAGTTACACAGGCACCTATTCAAAGACATACAGAAACTGTGCTACCAGATGGGATTGGGGTTAAATGTTGTCTCTTTTTATACGCATACGTGGTAGTTCAGGGAATGACAGGAGACCACAACATCAGATAAAGACAGACAGAGTAGCATATCTGAATCAAAGACATGTCAGTGCCAGGAATAAAACACAATGCAGATAACCCATTGACATTTTGACTGTGAAAACCTGCAGAAAACTTTCAAGTTACAAGTAGAGACAATTAAACTAAAGAGCAAAAAACCTACTTCCAAGACACAAAAAGCATTCAGCTCACTGCCATGCCATCTAAAGACAAGTTTCTGTTATGAGACAGTCAGTATTCCATCGCAGCCTTCTCTGATTACGCCTACTATATCTGTTTACCGTTCATGAATTTGACTAATTTCTTGAACAAGAGGAAAGGTTTTGTTTAAAAGCATAGAGTGTACTATACTTAATCTTTAATGGCTGAGTGTTACCACGAACAGATGAAGACAAACTGAAATAACAGAACACCAGTGTATTTGTTAGCTTGGGAGTAAATTCATCCAGTTGACAGGCTGGCCAGTTCTCATTTCTCTCCTACAACATTCTCCCACACATTTGCTATCATTGTCAATGATGAACTCGGCCAGATCTTTGATATTTTATTAAAAGTAGTAAAATATTGCATAACTTAAGACTGGGGTGTCAATAAGATTATCCTTTATAATGGTGTTCTCAGATTCTTATGGAACTCATTTTCAATTTAAATTTATTCACAGAAAATATTCTGCATACTGATGAAAGAATGAACCTATGACCAAAGGAGAACCAATGTTATCAAGAGAATAAACTAGAACCCTTAAACTGTATCAGTTCTAGGTGAAAGAGGGAAGAGAATGAGAAAGAAACCATCAGCTAATGCTATCTGTTACCACCTCATTTAAGAATGCAAAATGAAACATATTGGAAATGAAATGTAAATAGCTATAAGGCACTTCCGAATCAAAAAAAAAAAAAAACATAAGGGGAAAAACAAAGGTGTACGATCAAAAAAGAGGCAAACGAGAAAATACAGACGAAAATTTTTCCCAAACCATGGCCATGTGCATAATATAGATAAAGGTCCTTACCTTTTTCACTGACACTTTCACTTTCTATCTCCACATCTTCACAGCTAGTATATTCTGGTGTTGATGCCCCTTCTTCCTCTGAGCTACTAACTGACATCTGCCTTTTCTTTCCGCCTCTTTTTGCTCTATGAGGCTTTGGAGGGGATGGCCGCACTGATTCCGACTGGTCAGAACTAAGGGAATCATTCCTTAGCATGGTCTCCATTTTCTCCCGCTTTGCTTTTCGCATGAGAATAGCAGAGCTAGGATCAAGGCGACTCTGTTTTTTAAAGGAATCGTGGTTCTTGTATTCTAGGTGTTCTATAGGAACTGGACTATGTCTGGGAGTTGGTGGACTATGATTAGTTAATTGTTTAGAAACAGAAATTCTTACATCACCTGTTCTGTCTATAGAGTACGACCTCTGAGTTTCCACAAGAGATTTTCTGTCCTGAGTTCCCTGCAATTGTGAGCGTTTTCCTAATTTATTCTCAGGTACCTCCGCTTCCTCCATTTCTGTATGTGGCAAAGACACATCACTATGTCTTCTTTCATGCCGTGCTTTAGAAACTTTAGCGTGCATGCGCATCTGCTGTTCCTCAGGATGTGGTTTTACAGGGTATCTCGCCAGATTGGGGTCACTCCTGTATCGAGTATGATATTCATCTTCCTTCCTTTGTTTTTCATCATCAGGCACTTCGCCTTCCTCAGGTTTTTCTGGCAATTCTTGCGACTTCCCCTTCTCCAGTCTTCTACTTTCATGCCTTTCTTTACGTTCCCTGTCATCGGCTGGTCCTTCTTTTTGAAGTGAGGATTTTGGCACACGCTTACGTTCACTCTTTAAACCTTTGCCATTCTGGTCTGCAACCAATAATGTCTTCTTCCTACCATGAAAAGGAGTACAATAATTTGAAGAATTTAATGCAAAATAAAAATACTTGTGTAAGCTGTTGTGGTAATTAAATCGTAAAACAGGGAAAAGCTATGGCAAAACATACAGAAAGGTACTGAATCTATTAACATGAACTGAATCTAGTAATCTTTGCAATGGTATTGCTGTTTTCCAATACAAACAACAGTTCATGTGAACTCCATAAAAACCTAAATTATAGCAGGTTCAAGTAATAAAATCACAAAGAATATTAACAATTATAAATACAGATAAAAAAATCATTTACCCATGTAATTGGATAAAGAATGAAATGCATCTTTGTAGTAACTGCAGCCCTATGACAGAATACTGGAGTATGTTTTTTCCATTTTTCTGGCAGCAGTCTGGAGAGGTGGTGCTTACAGTCTGACCTTATAAACACAATTCATTTCAAGCAACCTGACACTATACATATAAATATCACCAAATGGACTATCTCTCACAATGACATTACAAATAGAATTAATATGGATATCAAAAAAAATGCAAAAGATAATCAGAGCCAATAATATTTGATCTAGTTTCCTTTATCTTATTAAAACCCTGAAAAAAGTACCCATTTCAGAAGCTTATAAAGAAAGCCAAATTGACTCTTTGAACTAAATTAACAGCATTCCTTTCTCTGGTAATGAAAGAGGATGAAAAATGTAATTTATTTCTCTACACAACCAAAGTACAAAATAATGAATAATGAAGCTGGCTGAAAATTATGATCTCTCTCATCATTCATCTTCTGCTTTGGAAGAGTAAGTAAGCCAAACAATCATAAAATCCCCTTGTAGGCCTGTTTTTTTTCCCTCTAATCCTCCCAACTGCCCTTTTGCATACCAGTTCTCATTTGAAACCATTTGTTTTGAAGAAGGCTAAACACAGCTATATACTTTATTTTAGATGAAACTGCACCAGCACTTTGTATTGTGGCACTGAATCTTCCCTACCTTAGCTGTTATATATTCAGATTACATATACCTTTTTCACATGTGCATTCTAATGGACAGGCAAAGGTATATACACGATCCACCTGACATCTGTCTCCTTTTTCTCTATCACCTTTTCCTCCTGAGTTCTTTGCAATAGGTGGGATCTGAGCTTACCATAGATGCTCTTCATTCAGAACCTTTGGACTTCATTTGAAAGCCTCAGTAACAAATAGAAAACACTGCTATTGTACAATTAATATAACCACCTGATTTTTGAACAGCAAAGCAGAATTAGAAAGAATTTTGGTGCCCTGAAAGTGTCGTTCAGCCGGTGATGACTGAGGGCCTTCCTAGCGTTGAGGAAAAACGTCAACAGAATCAGGGAGAGCATCATTCGTTGGTTTGTGTCATACATTTACATAACACAAACCTCAGTTTTGCTCCTGTTAAACCAAGACAGACCTCATCCACACAGCAAGTTACTAGACATCTCTCCTCATCTACTTTCAGCTTCAATAGCTATGAAAAACAACATCAATCATTGTGATCAAGGGAAAATCTTCTATGGCAGATTGAACTTTTTTTTCAGAGGTTCCCTTCTCCTGACTGCTCTGTCATCTGCCAGTCAGCAGCCAAAATAACAGCAGCTGATTCATCACATTATCCTCTGCTGACTTGTTCCTCTTTATCCAATTAATTACAGTGAATATAGCTCTGGCGTTTATTCATTCATTGAGGTTTAACATACTAGTTTGCTTAATAGTAATATAAGCATTGATAAAACGATAAATGAGGTAGCAAATGTAAGGATATCTCACGGAACTCTACAAGGTTTTTTTTTTTTTTCATTTAGTACATTATTTCATTAAGTTAAATGACTACTTTTTGTTCAGTAACTTAAAAACACCTGCCACATTTAGAATTTTATTAAAAAGTAACCTGTAATTCTGCATTGAAAGTAAATGCCAAAATGCATTGAATTATATTGAAATATCCTTAAAATGCAACTATTTCTCTTTTTTTCTACTTCTGTTGCACGGAATGACACATCTGCTTCAGACAATGCATTTCCTAGTGAACAGTTATCCTTTCCTGGTCAGTAAATAAAGTTGTTCTTTGGTCTTACTAAGTACATATAGGGCACAGCTGAAAGCCCTGGGTAATATTACTGATCTAGCTGTTGTAATTCTGTGGCTCTTTCAAGACATAAAGTATTACCTCTCTCTTGGGGGTTCACTTCTAGACCTCGATGAAGCTTGCTTTTGGTCTAGGCCCATAGCTGGCTGTGGTACTTCTGCTCCTTTCCTCCTGTCAGACTGCACACTGGAAGAAGAGATCTCCTTTGATGAGGCAGTTGCCGTACTTAAGGGAGTCTGTGATCTTGATCTTTCTTGAAGTCTCGCTTTCTTTTCTCTAGGTGCGTCAGAACCTCCCCCAGTGGCAGTATCACTCAGTGCTCCGTCCTGGCTGGGTGACGGCTGTGGTCCACTTCCAAAAAACCATGCTCCAGATTTTGTTAGGATTTCTTGTTGCTTTCGACATAAATTGCATACCCACATAACCTAGTTGAAGATAAGAAGAGTCAGTGCAGCTGTCCCTCAGACCCTAAAAGACATGCTTATTCTATCACAGATCAGATAGGATCTCTTCTTCTCCTCTACACCGGCAAAGTTTGTGCTCATGACAGTGCTCAGAACATGCTGCTGGAAGTGCTAACTGCACTGGTGAGAGCCAAGCATCCTACAGGCGCATGCTATGCGAGCTTCTCCAAAACGTGCTGTCAATTACACACATTAATCCTGCCTATAGCAATCCCCCCACCCCAGCCAGAGCTGTCTGCTGAGTAAACAGTGACATCATGACTAACCCTGCTGGTGTTTGAGTAGACAGGGGCTTGTTTTGTTTTCTTCGGCGTGAGTCACTGTTGGGACAGGCCTAACAAACTGTGATGAGACTTGAATCTAGCATGGTAGAGCTCTGGGCAACCAACTCCCAGCCTCGAATCCCTCCCCTGCTATAGACAATTGATACACTATTACTCTTTAATTAAATACTCTCATATAACATACCACATTATCCTTCAAATAAATTCATCATCTCCTGTGTGTGTTTTTAGCTACACCCGTAACAACCACTTACCGGAGATGTAAGACCTGAAGAAATCTACCAGTATAGAACTAAATGTACCAATGAATATAATGTAAAAGTGCCATATTTTGTGCTTCTAGAAAACAATCATATACCATCTCTCTTGTTTATAGCTACAGATAATAAATAAATGAATAAATAACCATGTATCCTTGGCGATCACAACCAAGCTACGTACATAAAGGTGCCTCTTAGGATCTTAGGACGCCTTTCTTAATTCCAGATACACTGCTAAACAGCAACACACACAAAAAAGCCAGACTCTACACTTCAAGTCTATATACAGTACAAGACAGTCTTATGCACAGGAGTAAGTAACAAGAGAAAAAATAAGAGGTTAATCAGGAAACTGAAGTGCACGAATGTTAAAAAATGAAGACAAAGACAAAAGGAGTTACTATGGCAGAAGACCAAAGAAGAACAAAATACCTGAAGAAAATAAAAGTGGTAGGAATTTTTTCAGAAATAAAGACAGAGATGCAAGGGAAAAAAGGCTGAAAGCTAACTGTGAAAATAAAAAAGAAAACCTATGAGTTTAATGTGGATAGAGGTAAAAGAATGAGTAAACTTCTAAAGTAAGAAGATCAGTAAGACGACAAATGTTAGAATGAAAAATATGCTTGAATTGTTATCTCTGTGTAAGCACAAGAATGATACACTGAAAAACTGAAAAGCAACCACTGCAGGAGAAAAACTGCAACAGGACAAGGCGCCGCTAGGGAGCTCTCTAATTCTGTGGTGGGTGGGAGGGTGGGGGGGGGAGTCCATGGCCGATAAGGTAAGATGAAAATGCTGAGGCGTTCTGCATATTCAACATAATTCAGATTTATTTAAAATACCCTAGAACAGACCAGCTGCTTCATTCTGAAGAACACCTAAGAGCTTCCAATACCATTTCTGCACTGTCTGACCATACCACACTCATCATCAAACTCTCTTCTCCCTGTATCTGTACTGTGCTTTTATCGCAAGAAAACTGTAATATTTCTTCTATTTAAGAAAGATAATAAAATAGCAATTAAAATACTTGAAATAATTCACAAAAAAAATCTAATCAAAAGCTACAATTATTCCAGCAGTGGCACAAACATGTCTTACGTTAAAAATACACAGATAAGTAGTTATCCTCAGTAGGATAATAGGAACAACAACTTCTTCAAAAATAAATGCTAGTCTTTTAAAAAAAATCCCTTACTTCTAAAGTATCATATTTCCTCCATCTAATTTATATCTCCAAACAGAGATTTAGTCTGTCAGACAAACAGAACACCATTATATACATAATCAAATAGATTTTTAGTCTATGTGGTCTTATCATTACAGGTATTTCAAATGCTGGCAAAACTAAAAGGAAAAAAACTTTAAAAAATGTCTTGACAGATGCTAGCACAATTGTTCGCTCATTAGACAGTACATGTGTGCATGCACATATGTTTGTGTATAAAATTATTGCAATGCTATAAACCAAAGCCATTAACCAAAAATATGCCATTGCTTATACTTTACTTGTTTACAGAAATGTTAAAAATAAGTTTTACAAAAAATTACATGAACTGGAGTTTGTTTAAAGGAGGGAAAAGAATACTACAGTATAATTGAAATATATGCATGCATGCACATTTAAAGTAGTAAAAATGGTGCTAGATTTTCTTCACAATTGAATGCATTTGATAATTCAAAGTACATATCAAGTATGCAATAAATTTTTAAAAAATTACATAATCACCTTTGCTATTGTAACTACTTTTCATGGAAAAGATTGTGAAATTCAAAGAAATAGGAACAGCTAACGCACAAACAGACACAGATAAATACAGATTACAAAAAGGAGAAATACTAGACATGTAAATACAAAAATATTTTTCCACAGCTGTCTTTAAATGCTGCTGTTTGGACACAAAATACATACCAGTCACCCCAGATTACACATGTAGGAAATCTGCATTATACTCACACAGAAGCTACGCTACCATCCCTGTTCAGGATTCTCTTCAGGACTTAATAAATGCTATGTTTGCCTGGAGCTATATTCGGTCCAAAGGGAAAAATGGTAAAAGCCTTTCTTTAACAGGAAAAAAATCCCAAAACTTGAGGTGCTATAACAGTTTCAGTAATAAAACTGCATATTGAAAAACATTTTTAGAGAAGTATGTGGAGCAAGCAATCTAGCAGCATGCAGGAATTATATCCTGATTGAATATACTGGGATGTGGTCCAAACTAATCTAAACTAAAGCAGGTCTGTGTAATAACTTATCTTAACAATCCACAGATGTTAGGCAACCAAACAAATGCTCTGATGAAGGATTACAGTGCTCTGATGTGGCTTCTGGACCTCCATGCAATGCATCAGTAAAATGAAGAGTATTAGACAATTTTACTCTGGCCTGTCACTTCAAAAATCGTTTCGATTTACTTTTTTCTGGATGGTGAGCTCTGATGGAGCACTATAGTGAGTCATTCAGGACATCCATAGTCTGATTTTTGACGCTGGTCTGTTTCTGGTTTATTGTACCCTTGCATAAATCACTGCATATCTGCACATGAAGATATTAAGGAGAACTACTAAAGGGATACTCCTCATTCAAAGAGTTCATATGCACTGCTCCAGAAAAATGTGCATTTTCACAGCATAGCAAGGGGTTCTAGGCTTTACTGCTACATAACAAAAACCAAGTGGCACATACAGGACTTGGCAGAGGTGGGCCAACAACGCCCACACAGAATCACGTAGAAAACATTACAGGCTGCGTGAAAACATGCTAGCATGCTTGCCTTCATGTGGAATATGGTGTATTTCATTCACAGAAAAAATATTCCTCAAACTTACTCTTACAGGTACTGTTGAATGTGATCCATAATGAGTAGGAACAGTTTTCCTGTACTAACACAACATGAAATTCCAACTTGAAAGATCCCACAGTAAATAATATATACAACTATATACACAAAGAAAATGACCATTTTCAGTTACAAAAATAAGAACATTTCTTTAAGATTATTATATTCACAAGCTATATTTTAGAACGGAGAAAAAGGCTTCTTTGAATTCTGATTTGATGACTTCCTTCCAGACATGCAGTGGGATGCTAAAGTCACGTTAGAGGGAAAATAAACTTTATACCGAATTTGTTGGACACCTGGCAAGAAAAATTCTCGCTGCGGTCAGTACAATTTCCCCAGATATCCTATATGCAAACCCAGATTCTTAGGTGCTTTCATTATGTACACATCCCTTCATGGTCTGTGAGTTTGGGAATGACAAACTCACAACCTACCGACTCCCACGCATTCTGCTTCATCTATGTACAGGAAATCAGCCTCACCAGCTGTGGTAAGAGGGCAGGCCACAGGCTATTCCTTACTGAACCTTCATTCTATCATTATAGTATTTCCCTTCTGAACGGTGTATACGTAGTTTCCTATCAGTTTATTGCTTTTACTCATGTTCCTTTAGCCTACTTCTTCTATGCACTTCTAGAAGACTTCAGTTACTTCAAGCAGACCCAATCAGGCAGACTCTCTTCTCTGCTTGAGGCCCCATTAACTTCAGTGGAGCTCTCCTACATCCTACAAGCTGTATCTTGAAAGTCAGAGGGAAGGAACATTATCAGTTTTCTCTTATGAAACTTTTCATTCATAGAATCAAGTTAGACCAAAGGTCACTTAATTTTTCTGTGGTATGTATAGTAAACCATGGAATTAGTATAAAATGAATTATGTAACGTAACCCTAGCTAAAGTTTCATGACTGCTTCACTCCATGAAAATTTGAATAAATGCAGCTGAAAATCTACTTGAATCCCTCCACTCAAAACAAATCCAAAATCTAAATAAATAAAACAAGCAAATCAAGTCCCTTTGTTATGAAAATGTGCTTTTGAATCCACATCTGCATTAAAAACATTTTTCAAAACTGTACAGGCAATTGAGTCCATCCAGTGGCTTCTGACCACCAAAAGGGAAAGTCTTCTCACCACCTCCCTCCTCTAACACTATTCTCTCTGTCCTGGTTTGTCCTCTCCCTTTCCTGGTCTTCCTCTTCCTTTCTCTAAGGTACATAGTACCACATGCACTCTTGTACCACCTCTCTTGATGATCAAGTCCTGCTGGGAGCCACTTGAACTCAAAAAATGTAGTAGAAATATACCTGTCATTTTTTGTTGGGTTCATTTTATGTCACATCCATTTTTATCATGAGTAGTGAAACCACATGGCCAGGAATAAGCAGGCAAATGGGGAGAAGAGCAAGTATTTTCCATGGCAGTGGCTTACACTCTCTTATAAAACTATATCCTAAAGCCATATCAATACCAGTAAATGACACCTGGACAGAAATGTTTTCAAAGCCAAATGACGCGAAATAACACACACCTATACACCTATACTAGGATTTCTGCTATATTTTAAAAACAG